CGGTGGGCTCAGAGGCTGCTGGGACCGGCGGGCGTGGGCGCGGTGCCTCTGCTGAGGCAGAGGAGGCAATAAGGACACTTTCCTGTCATGCATTGTGATGACTTGTGCAAGGTGCAATTGCAGCTAGTTGTGGAACTGAACTGACTTCGCTAACTTGCCGTCACGGCGTCACAGTTTGTAACACCTAGCCATGCTGGGCTGGAGCTGAACTGGCAACTTTAAAATGAAAGGCTTCCTCGAGTTGCACAGCTGGCAGCACCCTCAGCCAGGACGCCTGGAGCTCCGGCCTTGCTGAAGCCTTTGTGCTCCTAAGCATGAGAAGGCCTGTGACTCTGCTCATTTATTCCAAGGGTTGTAGTCAAAGAAGACAGAAAAGCCTTTTGCCTTGGATGGTGCAGACACACCTTTCCGCATGACGTGCTACATACACTGCTCTTTGCCCATAATTCAAAACTGAAGATTGATAACTAAGATATGGTTATCTTCTGGGGAATATGCAATATTAAAGGAGCCTTCTGCTATTGTTACCCCCATATTTATCCACTCTACTCCCTCAGCCTGCGCTTCATGTTGGAAAGCTAAGCAGATAGACAGGCACGCTCAGCAACATTCACCTCCCCACAGTTTTGAATGACTGGCATTTTGAATTTTGAAATGCACTGCAAGTACTAAAAGAGCGCTTTAAGTGGCTTTTTAAAAGCCACAACTGCATTTACTTGGAGTATAACTCATTAGCCAGACTAAACTCACATGATTTAATTAGTTGTCCAGTATTTTCTATTTTCAGTCTTCAGAAAGTTTGGGGGGTTTCCTTGCTGGTCATATACTGATCTTTGTCTACCTCTGTCAAGGTGCTTTGTAAATAATTTTGAAATGTTGCGATGAAGGAATACAGTAGTTTCACGAAGAGGTAACAATCTCCAGCAGCAATAGCTTTTAGGAGCTTTTAAGACCTAAGACTACCGTCTAAGAATGAGATTCTCTCTCTTTTATAATGCCTCCCTGGGATGTCTGCAATGAGTCAGGTTCCTGAACACCACCTTTGCTTTTCTACCTCCAGATGCAACCCCGCTGGGCAAAAAATTGTGGTTCAGGAGAACATGTTCATAGGCAACAAGATCAGAAGCATTGAAAACATAACCATGAAGCATGGGGATAAAAGAAAGGTATGTGTCTGATGAAAATTTGAGCAATGATGTCATGGAATAGCAGTGGGCTTTACGGAGGGGACACTGCACTCACACGGAGCTCTCTCCCCGCAGTTCCCAAGCTGTTGTTAGCATGCTTTAAATTCCACGGCCCTGGGATCATTTTCAGATCTCTGCTGTTTATAAATGCCAGGATTCTGGCAATGATGTAACATACCCTGTTTAAAACTCTCCAAAGACTTTTGGGTCAAAAACCTCTTCGTCTCTCTCAGTCTTGAGAAAGTGTAAGACTGGTTCAGTGCAAGAGGGGTCCTGTGAAGCACACACAACTGATAAGGACTCTGAGTTCATTAAAATGCTTAGCACTTAGAGAGCACTTTGTACTGCCCAACCTTGCCTACTCTCCCAGTAGCAGGAGTTAAACAGCTGTGTAATTTAAGAGGCCTACGGTGGCCAGAGGTAGCCGGCCTGATTTTCAGAGTGTGTAAATGCCTGCAGTACCTGCCTGTTTCGGCTGAAGTTGTCAACATTTCTTTACCCATTTGGGTTGCCAACCACGTTACCGAGCCAATGAAGGTGGGAAGACCTCCTTCCTTCTACACTTCCCTGCCTGCTTCCCCTTCCAAACAGCACCGGGAGCACACTTCCTGCATGAACTCCAAAGACCCCAGCCATGAATTATCCGTTAAATGCCTCCCCGGTACCTGTGGTGATACTGAGTGATATTGTTTACACACGACCATGCTAATCCTTGAGAAACTGCTGCAGCTGTTCTGCTCTAGATTCACAGACTTCTGGCTATCCCTTGGAGAAGATGCTGTGGTCTGGCTCAGTTGTTTTACCCCTGTTGGACTTACAGAGGTCTGTGGCTTTAGGAGTGGTTTTGCGGCTACAGGTTTCGAGGTGGATGCTCCAGATAGTTTAGTGCCTAATCCTGCAGGGTGCTGAATGCTGCAGTTCGTATCCTGGTATACCTTTATGCATCTGATAATTCTTGGGCTACTCCCATGCTTAAAGTTAAGCACAAAGCTAAAGTGCTCTTCTGGATTGGGTCCAGACTAAATCAGCATCTGGCAGGATCAGTGCCTTAGCCATCTGCTCTTTCTCATGGAGACTTTCCAGCTCTAAACATAATCTAAAACAGAGCTCTGAAAACATGGAGGTTGGGCTGGGAAGGAGAACATCAGTGTTCGCATTTCATTCCTGAGTTTTCCCCTTGCTGGAAGATATTTATAAATTGGATTTATTTAGATGGCATAGTGCCCCTTAAGCTCTGTTTTTAATGTGTTCTCTAAGAATTTTAGATCTTAGGCAAAAGAAACTACCTACAAAGTGCTAATTACTTTTAAACAACGGAGGTTGGTGACATGTACCTACAAAGTTTCTTCCTTTTCTAAGACTTTCTGGTTGCTGCATGGACTGACAAGGGTTTCGTGGCTCTCATGGCTACTGTTTCTGTCCATATATGCAGTCTGTCTAAATATATGATCTGGTGTCCAAGAGCTTAGTTTATATCTGAGGATCAGTCTTAAAGTTATGTTAGTCCCCATATAAAAGTGAAGGGTTTTACAATTGCTGTGACTCAAAAAATATCTGTTGGTTGCTGAATTTTCCCACATGCTGGGACAGTGAGACACCTCAACAACACAAAATTAGAAACATTTTTCTTTGTTTTATGCACATGTACACCACTCCCATTTCTTCTTTTAGCAACTTTGCTGAGGCAAATATGCAACTGGGTGAAATTTTAGTCTGCTAGTGGACTTAAGATGGGATTTGGCTGCAGCCTCTGAATGAGGTGTTTTAGGAGTGCCGCAGAGCTCCTGGACCCAGCGGGGCACTCCAAACACATCCTCAGTCTATCCTGGTGCGTGATTAGGGACTTCCCAGCTTTCCCCTATCGCCTAATTTCCCTAGAAAGAAAAGGTACAGCAATCAGAGGAGAAATAGTGCTCCACTCCCACGGAGGACACCATGGCACCTACCCACAGGTCAGTCCCGACATCACCATGTGCCCGAGTTTCCTGCCTGTAAAACATGGTGGACACTAGAGTGCTAGGAGAAGGGAGGCGCAACGGCTTAGTGGAAATGAGGACCATGAGGGAACCTCAGTACGAGGACCCCACGCAGTCCTCAAAAGGACTCCTCTTGTTCCCTAAGGGCTTTGCTGCTGCTCACACCTTGAGTACCACAAACAGCCCCGAGGCTGCTGCTCGCTCTGCCCTGCACAGCCATCCCTGCTCTTTCTACAGACTCCAGGCATCCTGAAGCGTTCATTTTTCAGACACGTTCAAAAGCTCTGCCTACAACCCTTTAACTTAAGTTTTTACATATTTCATTATTAAAGTTTCATAAAAATACTTCTTTACAAGTTACATATTTTTACAATTTATAGTATTTTCATTATTTTCATCTCCTGCTGATCCACTGGTTGAAAACACATTCTGAGATTTTTCCCAATAATTTTTATGTCCTGATTAAGATTTATTCCAATTAATAAAACTATATTTTATGAATCTCAGGTTTCAGCACTTTGTCTCCCTGCTTACATTAGCAGACAATTCCTCTCCTTCCCCCTTTCTGAAGTCCAAGGCTATCTGTATTAAGTGGAGTCTTTAGATAGTAGAATGTAATTCAGAAAAAGCCACTGATGAAAACCCATAGCCTTCAGACTTTTCCTTGTGTTTCATCAGTCGTTATTCCCACCAGAAATGGAATAGACAGGAAACAGCCCAATCCATTCCCACCATGTCCTAGCAAGTAATTCATCTGCATTGACTAGCCAGATGAAATAATAAAGATGTTGGAGTCTGACTGAGCGTGGCTTTTATTGACTGTGTTATGAAGCTGGGATTAGCTGAGATTGGTTATTTTTCCTGTGTGATTTGAGCCTGTCCAATGATAGCTGGAGTCTCAGAGCAGAAGGTGGAATTTACCTAGTCTCTAAGAATTCTCAGCATCCCTAGAGTTCACCCTTGAAGAACTGTCGCAATACATGCCGGTTCAGCGACATGAAAAAATGCATTAACTTTTAAGAGCTGCTAAGAATACAGGAACAAACCCCCAGAAATTACCAGATCCAGAATCTTGCTCAAAGGCTAGCTTGCAGGGCAGCAAGCAAGGATTCTTCCAGCAGACCACTGATGCAAGATCTTTAGATATCTATTTGACAAAAGTGGCATGTAAAATTGAGGTCTCTTGTCACCTTCATCATAATGATTATTCCATCATTATTCCACGGATAGAGAAGGGAATTTCACCCCCTCCTGTCTTCTAAAGGCTGAGTCTCATTCCTAAAGAAAAGCATGTGGTTATCGTTAACGTTACGATGTACTTCACTGAAGTTTTGGTCAAATAGTGGTTGAGGCAATTGCATCGTGCTAGTTTAATTTTCCTGGTGGTTTTGAGTCAATATTGAACTTTTCACTTTGTGATTTAAACTACTGTGTAGCTGCCTCTGGAGACTGCTTTTTAACACCAGGTGAAAGACCGATGATTGCATGAATTGCCTGAATTTCCTCTTCAAGTTGCAAGGAGCTAGGTTGCTATTTTATTTTCTTTCCTGTTAGTAAACTGAACGTACTGGTCTGAGCTTGGGAGAGCAGGACATAGCAGAAAAGAATAGCGAGATCCATACATTATTCAGTCCTCATTGCGGGTTTCTTTTCATCTCTTTTCTCCCTTTAATGTATATATGAGAGAGTGGCCTGGCCATGTGGATGTTTCTGCAATGAAACTCATACGTCTCTTGTGCTGGTGAAATTCATAACCACTCAAGAAAACTGACCCAGAAATGCCAGGTTTAAACCTCCTGAAGGAACAAAAAGACTACATTAGAGTAGCGGGATGCGTTTGGTGAAAAGTATGTGAGCAACTCAGTAGGGCTATTTAAATCTGTCACCCTGTGTGGGTGCCCGTTTCAATGAGCTCCCACAAGCCTTGCCACATTAGCCTCTGGCAGGGGAAGGTGAACAGTCACGCGGCTGGGTTTTTGAACAAAGCGTCCACTCTCTGGGAGACTAGCCCAGATGTTGCAGGCGCTACCCAAGCACAGGAGCACATGGACTACTACACTGTCCTTGGCAGGTCTTGAGAGAGCCTGGCTAGCAGCAGGGACATAAGAAATGACCCTCTGTCTTCCCTACCCTCTTAAATTCATTAACTGCAATCACCGGGTGCGAGGAAGAAGCATGAGGGTGGTAACTGCTCATGACTAGCCAGCACCTACCCACCTGCCCTAGGGCCAGAGAGCGATCAGTCCATCCATACCAGAAATGTATACCAGTTCCTCCAGAGGCACCTCAAACCTCCGGTTTTCCCCAGTTTTCTGCCTTGTCCAGCACCTTTCCTGATCACACGGTACTACCATCAGCTCTGCCATACTCTGTGAGGAAGGCAATGGTTGTTCTCATTTTACAGGGAGAGAAACGCCCACTGCCAGAGATGAGAGCAAACCCTAGAAGTTCTCAGTCAACTCACAGACGTCTCTTATCGCTTGTCCTCAGTCCATCCTTTAGCATGTTTTGAATGAATGAACTACGATCATGGATCAGAATTGTCAGGCTATAAAAATAAGTGTTATTCTGTGCCATTCAAGTAGATGGATTGGGAGCTAGCTGAATATTTTCTTTGCGGGGTCTCTGGTGAAGTTCCTATAATTTCGTCTCCCTCTAGCCACCTCCACCCCAGCTCTGCCAGAGTTAGACAGCTGAGACGTTTTCCACCCACTTTTTCTACTCCTCATCCTTGCCCACATACAGCTAACGAAGTGAAAGAGAGAAGAATTGTTAACTAAAGCTGTTGGAGGGAGGGATTAGACAAAGGAAAGAGAAAGCAAGGAATAACAAGATATATTAATTCATGCTGGCTCCAGCTTAAAAAAAGGTCTTGGTGCTCTGTCCTTGCTACAAGATGTCTTAAAACACTCATGGTATATGGCTGTGGAATGTTATTTGGCTGCTTCTAAAATAGCTTGTTTTTATCAGTTTGGGAACATTACAGTGCAAGACATATGGACTTTATTGAACTACTCCATTATGAGTTTTCCCAGCAGCAATGTCTATTTACTTGTCATAGCTGTTCTTCAGAGATCAATCATTTAATTTCTTTTCTTATTGAGTTTTAAACTTAGTTTATTCTTTTATGGTAATTATTTATTAGCTAATAATCCCTTCTTTGGGCTCGCAGTATTGGGTGGCCTTTGGGTTAAGTAATAGGAAATGGAGCCCTTTACTTCCAAATTCAACACAGGCAATCAAAGCTGGTCCGAAGGATGTTTGGTGCTTGGTATGCAGTGAACTGACAGGATCTCAGTCCAGCTCCCACTAGGAAGATGTCTAGACATTACATGCCAATAATTTGTTATTAATTACCATTGGTTCCAGCGCAGTCTGCACAGAAGCTAAGGACTGAACAGCCACATGGTTTGTGCCACCACTTGCGGCTGGAGTACATTGGCAAGGGTTCACGTGTCATTTAGTCGGAACTGCTCTTGACTAGGACATCCAGTGGAAGGTAAACTAGAAAGTGCAAACTTCCAGGCTATAAATAGTTCATGAATAGTAATTTCACCGAAGAGATACAATGTTTCAAGGCAATTGCAGATTTCACATCAGCATCATTATTTAGGCTTAGCAGAAAGTGCTGTGCTCTGCCTGGGAGCAGAGTTTTCTGAGTAGAAGGCATGAGAAAGAGCTTTGACGTGAGCCCTGCTTTGAGTAAGAGGTCAGACAGGAGACCACCAGCGGTCCCGCGCAGCTAAGGTCCTTCTGTGATTTCATGAGTCTAGATGTGGCAAATGTCAACATGTCTCAAACTTTTCTATCCTGGCTCTGACTCCAGGAATGGAAAATGCTTTGCCAGGTGCATGGACTAAGCACACAAAGTAGATTACCCCCTCAGAATTTTTTCCACTCTACTCTAAAGGTCCCCAAATGCTGGGACTCTGCCACTCCCCTGAGAGAGAAGTCTGCTAACAGTTTTCACTGTTAATAATGGGGAAAGATTCCTACGTTTGGTTGCTCGAGTTCAAACCATTTTCTCATTCAACTTCTTGCAGACTTTCCTTGAAATGGTTGCATTGAAAGTATAGGGATGGCATTTAGAAGAACAAAATCCTTATCCCTACCTGCCACTACGACCAAGTACAGACAAATTTCAAATTTTCAAGTTTGTTCAACTTGGGTTGCCTACAGTAACGGGCGATGAACAACGGCCGAAACATCGGCATTGTGAATACTATGGGGTTTAACATCTGGGTTAATAGGGGTTGCTTTTCAATGGGATCTCCTTGATTGATTTCAATGGGATATCCTTGATCTACAGATACTTCAAAAAGCAGGTACCACTGCTGGCTTCCTAAATGTTTCTTTCAGGTTCCTTTTGGTAAAAGACAAAACTATGGGGTCTTATAGAGGAGAAGAGGACTTAGATGCCCTTTGGTATAGCATGTGTGTGTTCCAAGGCATCACTCTGTTGAGGACTGAACCAGGATTAGATTAGTTTGGCAACTGAGAACTTTATTTAAGATGCTGGAAAGACAATTGGACTCCCAATCTCAGGGATTTACCCAGGAGCACACAGCTAGAGTGAAAAGCTGATGCATAATGATTTCAAGGGATTCATCTTATTACAAGCAAATCACTCAAAGTCCTTCATTTCCAGCTCTAAAATCACATATATTTCTCTGCTGGATGCTGCTGGTTTGAAAGTCACATTTTGGAGGACTCTGGGAGGTGCTAGTTCTAAGACAGTAAAGTGTGTTACCTCTTGTGCTCAGGCGTGTAGCAAACTGGTGTCTAAGTGCATAACAGTGATTTTGAGCATGCAAACAAGAAAATTACTTTCTCTCTTTTCCTCAGTAAATTTTTCCCAAGAATTTGTCCCCAGATTGTTTCCCACCATCATTTTAGCATCTTTTTCACCTTCACATCTAGACACAATTGAGATTAGCTGAGATGAGGTCTCGGTATAGCTATTTGCTCTTTTTTTTTCTTCCCCACTACCACGTCAGACTTTTCCTGAGTTATGTAGTTAGAGACGTTAGCATCTGTGTGTGTTCATGAGCATATGGGTGCGTTTCCCTCTGGGCCACCAAATGCAGCTTGAGGCATTGCATCAGTTTTTAGAAGAGCCACAGTGTCACCCCTAACACTTCAGACATATTCCAGAATGGATAATTACATTCCCCTTTACGATTTTAACTGCCTCTACAGTATTATCCTTGACTTCCCATCTAGAGCTGTCACTTAGCAAGACGAGTAGCTGTTAAATAGCTGTCCAAATTTATCCCCTTCTGTCCTCAGCACGTACATTTATATTGGCTTTTTCTATTCCCAAATATAAAATTCGAAGATCCAGTAATCATGAGAAGGAAGATCTTGGTCCTGATTCAGCAGTAATTCAAAAGGCAGGGGTAGTGCTCTGAACATGTGCTTGTTCAATTCAAAAGGCAGTGTCTACTGCTTAAAGCCAGGGGTAGTGCTCTGAACATGTGCTTGTTAATAACCTGTGGCATTAGGCCCACTGCTACAGGAAAAGAAAAAGGAGGAGGAGCAGACTGCTTCTCTGGTGATTTTATATCCAAGTTAAGAGCTATTTTCACCTCATAAACAAATCAGAACTGCACAGCTCTTTCTTTGGTGGACGCCAGAGGGAGCTGGGTTTACTGATCTCCTGTTTTCACCCCTAAATTTGGTTTGTCCCTATTCTTGGTTAATTTCTGTGTTTGGTGCCCATGAAAAGTAGATACTTTTCCACTTACCCGTTATTCTGCTGAAAATGTTCCCCATTAGAATGTAAAATGCACATGGGATCAAAACCTTTGAAACTCATTTCCCTACAGGATTTAAAGTGCCAAAGCTCAGAAAATCTTAAATAACTCTCGGAAAATACATCCCGCACAGCTATAGACACATTCGTGGCGCAGCTTTATGAGGAGTAAAGGAATGTCTTGTGTGAGTTTAGTTTAGGATATTAAAAAGAAAGTCCAGAGATGCTTTTGTGCACTTCAAAGCACTCTCTGGAGATAAGGACAAAGGGCCAGAGGGTGTTATAAGTCTTGATTCTCAAAGTCCTTAGAGAGGGCGGCAAAGAAAGTGAAATTTGTTCCAAATGTGAGGGCTCAGAGCTCACGGCAAAGAAAGTGATATTTGTTCCAAATGTGAGGGCTCAGAGCTCCTCAGGTGAATGGCTGCAGGGGAAGCAAAGTAATCTTGCAAGAACATCTCTGTCTTGGTGGGTTAGACCCTGCTTTCTTGCTAGCAGCCCAAAGGAAGTACTAGAAACAACTAAAGCCATGAGCTGTGGATAGTCCTCCATGAGCTTGTGATGTTGCATCATGACAGGGACAGGGGAGTGCCATACGGCTGGCTCCTCATTAAGAAGGACCCACACAGAAGCAGAGGCTTAGGATGTTTAAGGAACACAAGTTCTTAAGGATGCATTTGAGTTCAGCCCCATGAGTAACTGAACCACTTCCTTTGTCTATGTGGTGAAGCTCAGGACAAGTGTTCCTTTCTTCTCCTTCAGGATCCTCCCTTTCTTTCTGCTTTTGCCAAGTGTCTTAGCACAGGCAGCTTCTCCAGAGCTTCCTTACTTACCACACAAGTTCTGATAAGGCTCTGAGGACGGGTTATGGAATCAAGGGGCTTCCAAGCCCAATTTATAAGAGTGAGCTGGGGCCCAAAGGGGCCACATCCCTCCCTCCCTTCGCTGGGGTTATAGCAAAGCAGAGCAAAATCCTGCAATATTCTTTATACCACATCCATACGAATGACCTGCTTCCCATGCAAATGTGGCTGTCCTGTTACCCACGGAAACCATAACTGAAAAGCAGAAGAGAAAATAGGTGGATGTGGGGCTTCATTTCCAGTGTCTTAGACGAATCTTCCAGGTCCTTCACTTCAGCTTTTTGCTGATGTTGTCACACAAAGACCTTGGCAGTGTGTCAAAGGGGAACCCTGTTTTTCACGGGGGAGACAGGAAGAAAAGAAGGGGAAGGTTTAGGAATGAGGAGGGAAGAGAATTAACTGGGCTGAGGTGATCAGAGATGAGACACCAAAAAACTAATTGAAGCACTTGTCTGTTTGTGAGCTTCACTTATTACTAGAAACTCCTTTGTTAAGTGTTTTTCTACCATAAAACATATACTTATCCACTACTCTCAAGCCTCTCTGCTAAGCCTACACTACACTCAAAGCCTCTACCTTTTTCTCTCTTTGCTTGGCAGATTGTGAGCACACTAACTATGGAAAACAGCAGTGCATCAGGAATCTATTACTGTGTGGCTTCAAACAAGATCGGCGAAGAAGAGAGGAGCATTGAGTTCTACGTCTCAGGTAAACAACACAAGAGACACTACACAAAAACTAGATGCTGATGATCTGATTTACCTTAATGTTTTATATGGCTGGTGGGTGCTCGTTAAAACTTCTGGGAATCCCTGCACGTTGTGCTTTCAGAGCACTCCCAATCACACAGTCCCAGGCTCTTCACCACATGCAAGGTCGGGTCCTGCGTCGGTGCACGGCTGAGTTTGACATGTCCAGCATCAGACCTGATGCCCCTTTTGCCCTTTTCAAGCTGCAGATGCAGGCCCTGAGTCTAGCTGCCCGTGTCTTAAAGCAACACTCATGACATTTGAGCGCTGTCCTCATGAAACCTCTAGCAAAAGCTAAGTCCTTTGTAGTCTTCCAAAGGCCTGAAGCCTCTCCCTGACTCAGGAGAACGGTTGGTCTCCAATTAAGTCAGCAGGCATAGCAAAGGTGAGCAAGGCCAATATTCAGACCTAATCCAGGGCTGATATCACTGGGAGTTGTTGTGACATTGGATCCCTGCCCGAGCAATTAGCCTTTCCAGTGCCCTTTAAGGAGGGAGGAGGTGGACATGCTATTTCTCTAAAGAACACAAATCCAAACAAATATCTGCTTAACCTTTCAACACAGAAATTCTTTAGTAGTGAGATCAAGACCTACATAATGCTTTTAGGAGAGATGGGAGTTTAAAACAAGAGAAGAGTCCAGGGACAGCCTTGTTCAAGTGCTTAACCAGAACAAACTGAATCATTTCTGTGCTCACTTTCTGGATGAGTGGATGTTGGCTGGTAGAATTTGCATCAAAATAACAATTTTTAGAACAAAGAGTGCAGAAGTGTCCTGGAAGGTAAATGTCTGATTCTCACTACTTGGTTTCTTCCCCGTGAAGGAAGTTCTGAGGGCAAAGCTCGCTCGTGGCAGTGCTCTGCACTCCTCTGCCTCTCTCGCGTCCTGTGTTGTTTGAGTCCATTGCTCTAAAGTAATTCAGCACATTTCAAATCGGGCTAACCAAACAAAGGCTCACTAAACATTGTTACTATTCTTATTACACAGAAATGCTAATATGAAAAATGTCATCCAACGATAATGAAGCTGGTGCCATATGGGGGAAAGATTTCACCTCCATTTACAGCTTCTTTGTACTACCCCAATGTCTTATGGAGACAGAAGAGGGCTTAAGCCTCCAAAAGATATTTTCCAAAGCCCTAACTCTTATTTACTTAGGAAAAAGCCCTTCAAGGCGCACTTTTGGGAGATACAGCTCAGACATGAGGTCCTCAAGATGTCCAAGGCAGGCTGAAGACCAGCTATTAATTTTACACTTCACCACTTCCAAGTGTTGAGTCTTCACGTGGGTTTGTTTCTGCTCTGAATTCTGCCAGCTATTATGTTTGGATGGGTTACTCAAAGCCGTATGTTCCCAAGCTATTCACAGTACTTTGTAATACTCGGTGACTAAAAGCAGTGCTGCAGCAACTAAATAAGCAACTAGCATAAGGTCAGATTTAAAGGGCTAGATCAATCCATGCACCTTTCACAACTATGTTTTATTTTAACAATAAAAGTTATGTAGGGCTTTTTTCCCCCACAGTGAGCTAATATTTCGGATTTTTTATCTTAAGATCAATCTAGCAATGTTTTGAGACACAAATCTTTTCATCATGCAATTTTAATTATGAAGGAAACGAATCACTGGACAAAACTACTGACAGCGGTTATGGTGGAAATGTTTCCAAACATCCAGTGTTTCCATCCAAACCAAAACAGACCAGGAGGTGAATAGGGCTTGGCAAGACAGATATATTCTTGCCTGTGAAGAAAAGACCCTGAGTCTGTGCCATTCTGGGGAAGAGGCAGATGCTAAATGAGCATGACTGACTTTTATAAGTGCTGTGTTTAAAAATAGTGGTGTTTATAGATTAGAAAGAAATGAAATCCTTCTAAATGCGGCCATCCTGATCCTAAATTAGATCATGTTGCAGTGATAAAATAGCAGCAGAGTGACCTGCTGCTGGGTTTCTTTACATGATGGTCCTCTGCTGAGTAATGCATATTACTCCAGCAAGTGGCCAGGCTGCTGTAAGAGCTGCTGCTGAAGGTCTGCCTCACAGATGAAAAAAAAGCGCTGTCTTCTACTGGGTGCACTTGGAGGAGGCTAAGCGACCGCCAGGTTACTCTCACCAGGAGTTGCCCCTAGTCTCAGTGTTGGAGGGACATTCAGGGACAGTTTGTGAGGTACGAAACGGGGGAAGTCCAAAAGCATAAGGCTCTAAGCAGGCCACTTTACAATTGCTAGGCTGATTAATTTTATGCAGACTGAACCTAAAAGCTGAGATAAAGGCTGAGTTAGAGTCTGAGAGCACACCAGCAACGTGTGGGCCTTTAGGACAACGTCTAGGCAAATGTTCGTAGCACTTCACAGCGCTCTGTTCTCTGCAAAACAGCTGCTAGCTGTGGGACTCCACAATTATTTCAGTAATTTGTTGATTTTAAAGACCTGATCTCCTGTTATCTCGTACTGACAAACAAGCTGGTGGATCCTGAGCTGCTTTCAAACATTTTGGCTGAATTGAGCTTAATTAACTTCTCCCTGGTAAGAAATCTGAAGACGATACAGGGGCTAAACTCTCTTCTTCTCTCAAAAACCTGTTCCACTAGGTCAGGGTTGAAATGTTTTGTCAGGAAGGACATGGCAGGGTGTTACAGGGAAACTTCATCAGGTGTTGTCCAGGCTGCACCTGCTTTCTGGGGACATGCCTTGCTTCAGTCTGGTGTTTTCATCACCACCTTACTCATTTCAGAAAAATGTATTTATCCCAATGGAATAATGTCAACAGCCATTTTGTTCTTCCACTGCAGAGCCCCCACAAAAACTCCCACGGACACTAGAAATAGCCCTGGTATCTATTTTTAAATCATTTCTTTGCCAGCAGAATTCATTTCAGTGAAGGGTCAACAGGGTTTGGAGATCACGCTGAAACCAAGCCATATAAGGGGTCTAACGTGATGAGAAATCTTATCATTCAGTGACAGCCCTGAAGCCTCTCTGAGCTCTTTCCGCAGATGTCCTGACTCTCAGTGTCCCACTGAAGCTCTCCCAAAGCTGTTCATGGCAGCAGAAACTCCCATAGCAATGCAGTAGCAGTGTTATCCATCATGCCCTGCCTAACTCTTATTCCGGTATTTTTGTTTTGTGTAAATCCTTTTTACTTTCTTGCGGAAACAAAATCTGTCCCTGCCTATCTTGCCTACCACAGTTTTGACACCAGTGTTCCCATTTAAGTCAGATGACTATTTTGTCATGGGCAGAGGCGAGCCATCAGATGCTCAGAACTGCCTCATGTCATTGCCCACCACCAGTTACGCACCAAAGGACACTCAAGGCAGACTGCAACCTTCCTGGTGCAGTGAAAAGCTGACCTGATGTCACCTGGAGGTGTCCTCTGCCACGAACAAGTATTATTTACCTTCTAATCTCTGGTCTGCACCTTGGAAAGGGCAACTATATATTACTGTAGGTCCACAGTAAATCAAATTCTAGCCTTTGTATGATTGTACTACATACAACAAAATGGGATCCCACCCATATGAAACCTCTGAATGTTCTTGGAATATAAATGAATTATAAGAATAACAAATAATAACAAAAGCCCTTTTTCAAGGGCTTATCTGATTGCAAAAACAACTCAGAAAAACGGAGTTAAAGATTTATACCAGAAAGAAAATATTATATTTCAAACATGAGATAAAAATCTGCTATCAGATACTAGAACAATGTATGAACTGGGCTGTTCTACAACTGCTTGCCACTCTCAATTTGCTTATTCCTGACATGTTTACAGGATTTATGAAAAGCTCTGCGCTGTTTCAGATGGTAGGGCTCACCCTTTCTTTTTCTCATTCTCCCCACATGCATATGCCTGATGGCAACCCCCCCCACCCTGACAGGCACAGGGATGGAATTTGGGAAAGAGCAGAAGTTTTGAATTACACAGATTATTGTGCAAAGCACAGGAAATTAAAACCAATTAATTCCTTGTAAATACAAATGGAGCCAGACTTTCTTTTGATTTATGCTGACTTTTTACCTTCCCCCAATGGCTTATTTCCCTATTTTGCCATGGAATCCCGCACAGTTGAGAGTGAAATTCGCGGCTACTACACTGTAATACAATACGAAAGACAAATGTTTGGTGACTGCTGATAAAAGAGAAAAGGCCCCATGGTGCATTCTTTTAGCCAACTTATTAGGAGTCTTAGAAAACACTGTATCTGTTCAGAGGGAGGAAGTTAATCACTGCTCAGGTTCAAGACTGTGTAAGCAAAGTAGTCTAAGAGATGAACTGACTTATAATGTGCTCTCAAAGCTGCAGTTACTCCCCAGATAATCCAGGTAGGAGGAGAAAAGAGAGAGGAGAGCAAGAGAGACTTTTTCTCTCTCTCTTTTTCCTTCCACTGTAATGAAAATCAATGAATATTCTATTGGAGCTGAAAGAGCTTCTTGAAAGGCTAACAAGATGGAAGAGAATAGCACAGGTTCCAGCTAAAAATATTCAAAATGCTAAATAAAAAATGTCAGTGGAAGAAATGATAAGAAAAACAAGCCAGCCCTCTGCTCCCAGAATGTTAAGCTGGTAGAAAAAACCCTGCACTGGTGAACTCCAGCAGCAAGGCGAAACTATCGAGCATCCTTCGCAATTCAGGGCTTGGAAATTAACACACCAAATTCACTGGGAATTTGCACCAAAGTGCCAGAGATCTCCGGGCGCTCCAGCCCATGCTGTGAGTGCCATACACAAGCCAATGCCTTATCCCAAGAGATGCAGTATTTCCCCTGGGGTGGGCTTTCTCCCGCAGCCATTCAGGGAAACTCACCCTGCAAAACAAACGGGGTTGCAAGTTGTAAGAAGAAATTCTCCCGAAGAAAAGGCTTCCTGAGAGGCAGAAGCACGGGCAAATGGGGCTGCCAGCCTAACCGCTTAAGGCCAAGGTTTAGCTTGCCCTGCAGATTTGCGGGGGTTCACTGTGTTTTACCCCAGGTAACGTGACCAAACTCCTACCTCATCTCTTTACCTGGAATCCCTTTATACTCTCGCTGAGACCCAGCACTTAGGATCATAGGGTGATTCAGGGTGGAGGGGATCTCAGGAGGTCTCCCAGGCCATTGAGCTTACTAAAGAACTGAGTCTAACCAAAGATCCGTCCATCTTAGTCCTACAACTCTTGCTGGAGCAAGTAGCAAATGCTTAGAAAAGAAACTAAGAAAAAGGCAAGTTAAGAGGGCACTTTTTCCCTGTTTTGCTTTGACAGATTCAGGAGAGATGCTGAGATGCTGCTCATGCCACATCCCAGTGTTTTCACTGGACCTTAATTCTTCCGGTTTAGAGAAGTTCTGCTGGCCTCAGACTTTTCCCCCTTTTTGATAAGCATCATCTTGACACGTTGGAACCACAGGACATGAGATGTGAAGAATGGATGTATTACACAAGTCAGTTTGAGGGTACAGCTAGCGCGAAGCAAGAAAGAGAGCAACTGAGCCTAACAAAACACTGCATAAAGTAAACTGAAATTTCATGAAAAGGAAGGAAAAGAAAAATAACAATTTCCACAGCTGTGGCCTGAGGGGTCTCTTCTCTTTTTGGATCTTTTGTAAAACATTTCTGCTGCTAGTCTTTAAAAACCATGAAGCAAAGCTTATTGGTTCTATTCCAGATGACTTGTGAAGAAGAGAGACTTTTAATCATATCTGAAAGCTCCTTCAGGGCTCTGTATTTTATATAATATATGGTTTATTATAAGGCAGATTGGTTATTTCAACAGCCTCGCTATTTATGCTCAACTATAGCTTCGGCAGAACTTTTTGCAAGAGTTTGCAGTGTGAGCCCCTGGCCAAATTCCAGCTCCCATGTGGAATTTGTCAGATTGCAAGTGCAATGCATACTTGCTCCCCTTTAACTTCTGTCCTTCTCAGAGTACCATCCATTTCATCCTAGCTTGAGAAAGCATCTTACTAACAGCTTGGTACTGAAGCAACAATCTTTCAGATTGATTGCAAACACTGTTCATCTTCAGAAGGTAATCCAGAGCAAGTCCTCCCAAAGTGTTCCATCCCCATACTATGCCTGGTAAAATTTATAAGGGATTCCTCATAACTCTCAGCTGCTTGAAAATCCTGACCTAACAGACAGAAGAATAATTCCAGGTCACTGTGGTTATCAATGCACTTTCATTCAAGTCTGCTGGGTGGATAGATCACTGAAACTAACAGAACAAAAAGGGAAAAGAACATCTTTCAGACAGAATTTAACTGTAGGTCTCTGGCGGCTAATGCAGTAATAGGAATGCGTCTCTACGCCAGACTCTGGCATTCTACTCAGAAACATTTTTTCTTGTCTTCAAATGGATTCAGTTCACCACTTCAGGAAAATTGATTTTTTTTTTTTTGTCTGGAGTGAAAAGTTACTAAAAATGTAGCAAGAAACAGCTTACTCTTTTGTGGATAGATAGATTGGACTCATGCCTCAGTATTTCTCTGCTAAATATAAAGGCCTCAAGGACTCATCCATCATTAGATCAGTTAATCCATTCAGTGATCAAGTAAATATCCACCAAGGCACATGTGATGAAAATAAATATTGGCATAGTTGAAATAAGAGAGAATTGGGAAGATTGTTCTGTGGTGAAGAAAGAGAGTGTTACTTCTGAGAAATGGGAATAGGTCTCTATTCTTATGCAATTATACTTTCTAGCACTGATTGCAGATAGAAGGAGAAGAGCTCAGGAAGACATTTGTCTACCTGGATAGAAATCTCTCTTGATTACACTCTCTTAGTCCATTAACTACTTCTATTTATAAACTTTCAATTCATTACTTGAAAATGTAATGATCAGAATACTGAGGCCCAGACTACCACAGGTCAGCACTGGGACGCGAGCGGTACATTCCCTTACCTAATTCACAAGCACCAGTGCCTGTCTGCACATGCAAATGCGGGTCTCATTAAAATTGGCTCACTCCATTACGGCTGGTCTTTGAAATTTGATCATCAAGTTGCAACCAGGCAGCCAAAGACCTTCTCAGTTGTGACTTAATTGTAAACATGTTTTCTCTTCCTCCTAGATGTGCCGTTTGGGTTGCAAACAGACCCACAAGTCACAGCCATTGTGGGGAATGACGTCCAACTGACCTGCCGGGCCTCCAAGTACATCTACAGTCACCTGGCCTGGTATTACCCCTCCTCAGAGGCGGCTCTCAGTGACTCAGTGATCAAGAAGACTGACAACTATTCCATTTCTTTGACACTGGTCATTACTAATGTCACGAAGGAACAGAGTGGCCTCTACAAGTGCAGAGCCCAGAACCAGCACAACAGCACCGACACGCTAGAACAGCACACTCAGCTCCTCGTCAGAGGTAGGTCCTGCCAACGGAAAACGGCAGCGGGACGTGCTATCGTTCCGCTGCAGGAGCAGAAATGCTGTGCATCTGCTGCTCCCTTTGAAGCTTTTCAAAGCAGAAGGTGCCCAGCATTTCTTAGGGACCATCCTAATATAGACTTTGTGTTCTGGTTTGGGGATTTTTTCGCATTACTGTATGTGGATTGACACCTAGCCATACATATTACTCATCCAGCCACTGCTGGTTTTGTATAAAATATTTGCCTTACACATAAAGGTGATTTCAGTATCTTCCTAACTCCATGCTGGGTGCAGATACAGTGTTGACGGAGGAGAAAAGGCATCACCCATCATGTTACTAACAGCACAACTCTATCATTTGGGACTGTCACCCCAGATCTATATGACTTTGGTAGAAGACTGCACCCACTTACAGCTGCCAGGAGGACAGAGATACCTAAATAGATTTGGACCCAGCAGATGTAATCACAAATGTCACTGGTCAAGTGTATAATCAAGTGACATGTACCATTTATTCTGAGTAAGTGGGATGCACTTCGTTGTAATAACAGTATTTTCTTACTCATACCCAACCCCCCAACTCTTTCCTTTTATTTTCATAAAAATAGTAACACTACAGATCCTGAAGGCTGGTTTCTTTGACTATGTGAATATAAAGGGCAGGACGCTTCTTCCGGTAGAAACTCGCTGAAAATTAGTGAAGTTTCTTCTGCTTCACAGTGAAGGAAGTGAGTGATCGGTTCTAAGCCTTCTTAGAAGAAAAAGTGCTGCTGGAACGGGTAAATTTATTAGCTGTCTTCCAATGGTGAAGAAAAACCCAAAGCACAGGAATGGAGTAGAACTGAAATAAACAGCAGCAAGCCAGGGTGCAGAAGACAGAGTCCTTCAGAAGCCGAATTAGACAGTGATTTTCAAATTGGCTTCCCCACCTCCGTTAATGGCTAATGAGACACTGAAGGGACAGCTATGCTGCCATAAGCACTTGTCACTGAGGTAAAAACCAGGCCCTGCAGTGCTGGCTTCATCCTTGTTTAAGTGAAGGAGCACATTTCCCATGCAGTCGCCTACCCCATGCAGCCAACAACGCTCTCGCAGTCCCTTCCCCCTCCGTGCAGGCACACACACAAGGAGCAAACGCTCACCCACGCCACAGCTGCGGCTAGCACGGCTCCGATACCTGAGTGGGAGGAGATTTATTTTAAGAAATGGCATGAGCACCTGCCTCTTCCTGAAGTGCGGAGGAAGGGAAAGAATCTCACCCTGGTATTACAGAGTGCTAGCGGTTTGGCTTGTCCCCACAGCCGGTACCGGAGCCACCTGTCAGCATCATCTGACATGGAGGCACTGGACTTTCCCTGCACTCTGCATTCAGGCAATTCACTTTTCTTTCCCCTGGCAGATATTTTTATTCATTTAGTCAAATTTCCACCTACACAGACACCTACACATGATGGCTATGGGAAAAACACAGCTAAACTGGGAATACATCCATGGGAGAACTGGAACCTTGATCGCATTCTTCTGAGAATTACCGGGGTCTGTTATTTGTCTGGCACATGTCAGAGAGGTAATTCTTCTGGAGAACATGCGTGGAAATGCTCCCCCAACCAGCCCTCCTTTCCCTACACAAACAACATCTTTTAAATGTACTAACACCCATCAGCTACTGTCCTTATTGCAGGTTTTATGTATTTTTTTTATGCTATGCTTGTGATTTTATTCATTGCTTTCCTGTACCTTCTATAAACGAACATAAAGTGGAGGTTAACGTGCTTTGTAGTAAGCAGATAACCGCACTCATGATGGAGGACACAAAATCCTTAGAACTGTTTCCTCTTTGCCTCCTTTCCTTTTTTGCATTCACTCTGCATTTGCTCTACCCGCTCACTGTCCTCTGTTTTCTTCAGAGGGTGAGAAACTCAAGGAGGTTCGAGCTGAAGCCGAATCTAAGCTTAGTCAGTTTGAAAATAAGCCAACTGAACTCACCGCACTCCTCCCATAATCTTTTGGGGGATTTTTCTGCCACTCATCAACCAAATCTTTGCCACTTCCAGCCCAGAGAGGCCATGCAGGTGGCCAAAGGAGAGAAGATGGCAGAGCTGTGGGAGGTGCCTCCTGAAATCTTACTGTGTCCTGTTTTCCTTTGTGACTGTAGCAAAGGCAGCACCGTACGTGATACAAAACCTCACAGATCTGGAGGTTAACATCAGTGGCAAGATCATCCTGGAGTGCAAAGTCAGTGGAACACCAGAACCTCAGATTACGTGGAGGAAGAACGGCTACCCCATTTCAGCAGCATCAGGTGAGTGTACTTGCCTCCCGAGCGTGCTGCGGTATTGTACGTAACATCGGATAATACAGGGTAATGGACTTGCAGGTTCTCCACAAATGTAGGACCCACAACTCCACGGCTACCGCAAGCATGGCTGAGTCAGGATGGTACACACAACCTCAGAAAACACACACACAAATCCAAGTCCATCAGACCACTGTAGTAGTCTCCAACTTGGACTCTGAGGTCAAAGCCGCCAACCGTTTGCAACCCAATGCCTGCTCGTGCAGCTTGCCTTCCGCATGTGGCAGCGTTCGCGTCTGCAGAGTCCGCCAGATAGTCTGCATACGTTAGCACAGCATTAGTGAATCAAGGAGTACAGTGTGCTGCTGCTAAGTCTGCTTGTGCGAGACAACAGTTTGTGTACAAAACTGAGACAGAGTGTACCTGCTTGCCAGGTGGGTCTGAAAACACAAGCCTGAACCGTCAGATATCCTTGGGGCCTGATCAGAATATATTGCAGCAAATTGCGGGCAGTCACCTAACAGTCAGGTCCAGGGCATGCCACGGCATGTCACACATCCTTTCTTTATCTCCCACAACATAGTAATGAGAATGTGCTCTCAGCTCAACTGGTACAGAGCAGTACAGGTACAGTGCTACCATGGGCAGGGAGCAGGGGCTCCCTTACCTGAGCCTGGAATTCCTTCTCAGCTCTCTGTCCCGAGATCTCCTGTAAATCATGGAGAATCCTATCTCAGTAGCTGGTCCTGTGACTTTAATTTCGCATCTTGGACTAGGTAGGAAATCTCAGATCATCCATAATTCAGATCAGACTGTTCTGAGAGAAACTCTTTATAGCTACTGAAATTTTATAAATAATTCTAGAGGGACAAGCATGTAACTCATCCAACCAATGGAAACATAAATAAAATATTTGGAAAAAACACCTCAGGGTAAATATTTCAGCACAGTGCATGGCAAGTTATGTGCAGTATTCTTGTTAACAACAACAGGATTCATAGGCAGAACACCCAGAAACTCAAAATGTCCTTCCCTTTTGGATTCAAAGCCTGACCTGTTTCCCTATTTCTTACCCAAACTTATCCTTAGTGAAACAGATGAGCTCTCAGTTTTGTGCCACAAATCAGGAAAAATTAAGTGTGGAAAATTAATCAGGAAAATTAAATGTAGAAAAGCCTCACATAGGTCCTGTCTAGGCAACTTCCCTCATCCCACTCCACCTCTAGCTCCCAGCTGCCTGTGAATCCAGGATTGCTCCACGCAGTGATTTTTCCAGGGACTTGCATAACCTGATTTCCATGTTCCACATGTTAAAACTCCCCATCACTTCCCACAGCCTCCAAGACATCGGCTTTCTCCAATAATTTCACTGAGTTCCCTTTTTTCCCAGTGTATCTTATTGCTATCAGAAAACCTATCTTCCCATCACTTCACTAACTTCCATAGAAGTTTTCTCAGGCTCTATCTGCTCATAGTAAATTAACAGCCGCATTTGCTGTTGGTTAAATGATCCCCAAGCAATTTTCACAGGTATTGAGGAGAAAAAAATTGTCAGGGAAAGGTTGTTGCCAGACCACAATGAGGAGCGTAGTATTAAAATGCCTCCTAACAACAGCGCGTACCAGGCCTGCATGGATGGGAGCTGACTTTCAGTTCTCTGTCTCCTAAAAGCATTTGTAAGCGGGTAGGTTATTATGATAATATTAACCGAAATCCCTTACAACAGGAATTTCCATGGAAAATAATACCCTGGTCATTGAGCGAGTGAAAAAGGATGATGAAGGGCTCTATGAATGCAGGGCATCCAATGACATGGGCCAAGACAGCACATCGGCCTTCATTAAAATACAAGGTGAGTTCCAAGCTAAGGCGAAACGCATATATTGTGTTGGACTGATGAGAACTATTCTTCAGTCATGGACTTTGGCTACATTTAAAATTTGGTTGTACATTTAACCTACAGGTTCTGAGGAGAAATCCAACATTGAAGTTATCATCTTGGTCTGCACTGGTCTAGCCGCTACCCTCTTCTGGCTTCTTCTGACCCTATTCATTCGGAAACTGAGAAAAGTAAGAGAGCTTCCATATTGCACAAAGGGTCTGGGATTGGGCCCAGTTTATGCGTAGCATCAGAGTTTAGGGCCGAATGTTTGGGACAGACGGTAGAAAAACTGTGCAAAATGTTCCTATAAAATTTCAGTCCAAGATTTCTGCTGATAGTCCTTTGACTTCTCAAGAGATCACTTGCACTTGTGAGATTTCTACCCACTTCCATGGCACCATAAAATCAGGCTCCTCCCTCTTTATGAGTCAAACTGGCTTGCAAGATTAGGAAACTGAAAAAAATCCTAAATCCCCTAAAACGAGGGCTTGATTTCAGCACTTGCCCAGTGAGATTTCTCTGAAACATAGGTATTAAAGGGGGCCCTGTTTTAAGAAAGATAGGATGTTTGCTCTAGAAATGAGCTCAAACCACGCAGGTTATTTTGTCTTCTAGTCTTGCTATTCTTTCATCTCCCTCTTGTGACTCAAAGAAGTAAAGTGTCAGTAAAGTTCCAAGGAATTTAGGTCTGTTTTTCCTAAAAGAAACAGTAAACAGAAAGGCAACCGCAGCTCTCTGCTCTGAAGCTCATCAAACTACAGTTCCACTGGTCATCCCTAATACTTGAGTAAAATTTCCCCTCCTATTGCAAATACAGTGATTAAATTAACGTTTTCCTCCTTGACCTCAGTTTAACAGAGTTGTGGGCAACAGTGAATTTCCTATCACATTTTACACCCATGCAACTCTGCTCACAGGACCCACCAAATCACAGTTTTTCTCACTGAGCAGCATTAGAAGTAGCGGTTTCCACCAGCTTTCAATTCTGAATTGTAATAAGCAATGGGCATGAAGTGGGTAACTTTGGAGAATCAAGCCTGCACAACAAAACACTATGAAAATGCCAAAATGCTCCGGAGTGCACCAGGACCTGCAACTCATGGAGCTGCCATAGAAAAGCACTGATTTCCTTTAATAGATACAGGTAGAAGACAGTGATAGATTTTGTGTCCTCAGAGTGTTTACCAACATTAATCAGTGACTCTTCCCAACACCCATGAGCGGCAGGCATACATAAACATTTATTTCCCAGATATAAAAAAAAAAGAGAGGCAGGAAGCTGAAGTGATGGATTCATGGTTCAGAATAAATTTCAGAGCTAAGTCTGGAATTCAGGGAACTCCCCAGCCAGCACTCAGTCTCGTAGACGACAGCTCTGCCATTAGAATTGCAGGGTAAATACTGTGAATAATTTCTCCGCACCCTGTTTTTAGCCTGATGCCACAGATATTAAAACAGGATACCTGTCAATTATAATGGATCCAGAGGAAATGCCTCTTGACGAGCAGTGTGACCGTCTTCCCTATGACAGCAGTAAATGGGAGTTCCCAAGAGACAGACTGCGCCTGGGTGAGTGGTTTGGGTATTATTACTGTAAAGAATGATGATTTCTAACGCTCCTCAATTTCAGTGGATTTGTTGTATAACCCAAGAAGCAGCTTATCATTTAGTGCCGGCGTACTACCATCCTTGGGGAGAACTGGCGGTGAGTCACAGAATTCAGGATCATCCTTAATGGGGGGTGAAACAAGGGATTTGGTAAGAAAAGCAAAGATGTTGTCTCTCTCAAAATAGCTACCACCTCTTTTTCTTTCTTGGAGAAGTGAAGCCAAACTCTTGACAGGGAAGAAGGGTACCTCCAGCTACTGTCCCTGCCAAAAGCATGGTTTCACACCCATAGAGGAAAAGGCAAAGAGAAGTCAGTCTAAAGGGTGACAGTCTTTCAGTGAATTTTATTTTGAAGAAATCTATCCGCTCATCAAATAATCAATTCCTTATCAATCATTTGAACTTGGCTTTGAGTTGTAAAGAGCTATCATGAAAAAATGAACAAAATTTCATTTAACAGCTCAGCTCACTGGATGATGGAGCAAGAAAATGTAAAAAGCAGGTTGTGTTTGTATAGAGAAACAGTAACATCTGTGTGCAATGATGAGTGCAGGGAACATATCTGTATTTGTGTGTGCTCTTGGTGCTTTAGCTGGAAAACATGGAAGGAGGAGGAAGACAGACAAAAATAACAAAAAATGAGATGATGGTGGGACATAGGGTCAAACTAGCAGAACCAAAAAGCCAGACCTAGCCCTCAGAGCACACTAGGTAATACAGGCATGAAAATTCAAATGAAAGGGAAAATAAAGAAAGATTATAATCTTAAATTCCATTTAGTATAGCTTTTTACATCAAATAAATGTCAATAACTGAAGGGTTAAAGGGTTCTGACTGCCTGAGTGCCTTAGCTGGCTATCTCCATGACTGTAATTCATGAGAGATCAGGGTTCCACAATTCTATGTTTAACCCAAACTCTGACTTTCCTGGGCTTACAGGACAACTATAGGTAATGTTTTTACCCTTAAGCCATACATATGTATTCAGCCTTGCCTTCAGCTGAATGCAGGTTTATTTATTCTACTCTGTTCTATCACATACTGTATTGCATTAAAGCCGTATGGATATAAATCATACTGTTTATATCCATATACTGCAAATATGTGATACAGGCTTCTATTGACTATCGGTCTACGTTGTGCCTGGGCACTGGAGTCTTGTATTTCTTGCATAGCTGAGAGTGCATGTTTCCCTCTTATCTGATGCAGACTGTCATAAGTCCCCTTTGGCTCATTCTTGACTCTTGCTTCTCTAGGTAAAACACTGGGTCATGGTGCTTTTGGGAAGGTGGTGGAGGCGTCTGCTTTTGGCATTGATAAATCTTCAACCTGCAAAACAGTTGCCGTAAAAATGCTTAAAGGTACATATCCCTCTGAGATTCTCACAAGACTCCTCAGGGAACCTGTGGGCAATGAGGTTTCCAGTTCTCAGCTCCAAACCAGTCCCAGGTTCATTGTGTTCAGAAGGGAGTGGGTTTGTCATATGGGAGCAATTAGTCATTATACAGTGGATGTTAACGTGTAGGAAATGACAAGCGGGCTCCATGCTGTGCTACTGATTAAGTCTTGTATTCCTAGAGGAGGAAAACAGCAGCTTCCAGGTCTGTGGGGTTAGGAGGGAAACAGATTACAGAATGTAATTACATTAGATAGTCTGAAATTGAATCTAAGCCTTCGATCACAGCCCTTCCAGATGTAGAACAGTTCAAGGGGTTGAAAAAAAGCAATGCCAAGGGAGTGAATTAGAGACAACTTGCTTGCAATTATTGAAATTAAGGAAAGCTTTTACCATTCCGTGGTGGGGAAGGGGGGAACTTGGAGACTATTCTTTCATATTAAATTTACATACAAAGCCTCTGCAGACAGCTTATGAATAAATGCATCAGCCAGTACATTGACTACTTGGGTTGGAGGTTTTTAACTGTTCACTTAGGATTTTTTCAAAGGTACAATCGATGCTCACTGGGTGGCTTTTCATAGCCCACATTGCTCTGCATTGCTGCTGCATGACAGTATTAACCCCTGCAATGTCATGATTCAGGAACTCCTATCACGGTATTTGGCTTCTGTTGCTAGCTGCTTCTCCTGATGCTCTGCTACTTCCCACCTCTCTGAAATTTCCAAAACATCAGTTTATCACCTGTCTGGACCTCCTCCAAATCTGGTCTCCCTTCTGTGCATTAGTCAGCAGATCTTCAGATCATCTTCTCTCCTGCTGTTGTGTCTTCTGTTCCATGCCCATCTCCAGATCCCTGAAATATCCTAGAAGCCCCTGATCGAGACACACTCCCTTCTCCATCCAAAACTTACTTCCCTGGATAGCTCTGGGTTTTCATTCACTTCCACACTGTGCTTCCCAACTGATCCTCGTGTCAACTCTACCCTGCCTGCACATATTCAGCAAACTATTTGACAGTTCCTCCATCATTTTACACCTTCCTCCCCCAGTGGAGGCAGCAGCCTCCTGCTCTAACCTGTCCCTGCCCAACTAACATGCCCATAATTCATCACTTTCCTGAATAAAGCAGATTCTCTAGTGTGAATCAATCCATTAAGGAAAAAAAAAAGGCTCTGGAGATGTCTGCGTTTCTGTAATTCCAGCATTATCTGTCATTTCCATGAAGTAGGCTGGTATCAGTTCTGGGTTGAAGGCTAAAACTTAATGTGCAAGACTATCTGAAACACTTCTGAGGATGTTCTGTTTAGATTTTGCCAGGCATGTGTTCCAGCTCATGCCAGGGCAAATCAGGAGTAATACCACCCATGTACACACCCATCTACAAACACTGTTGACTGAAGAACCCTTGGGCTTGGAATAGCTCCTTCTTTATGACACAATGTGGTGAAAGATTTGTTTATGGGGAATTCTACAAACAGATAAAGAGGTTACATTTGTCACACCAAATGATCTGTTACGTAACTGTTTCTTCACATTTAAATCTTACATGATGCAAAGGCAAAAACAGAGGAAACGGGACACAGCCCCTTTTGTTAAAATACATCATGAAAGTTTTGGAAAGAAGGCAGAGGAAACAAACCAGCATCTGAACAACGTCCTGGTCTGAGAGTGCCTTCCTTAGCTTTGGCAGCAAAAGAGAATGAAGCTACAGTACAACTGGCTAGCCAGTGCTTCATCAAGTGTCAAGGTCATGGTTCACACACAAATATGGCCCCCTCTGCTTTGCTGGAAAATGTATTTCTTGGGTCGATGAGATCTCACAGGGCTGAGATTTAGAAATGCTGTACATTCTCCAGTACATGTTGGGACCCAACTTACAGATGTGTTGGATTCCTCCATCCCCTGCAGTGGAGAGTTGCTCAGTACTGTGGAAAAATATATTCTGAGGTATTGTAAAGAAGTACTACTAAACTGCACATCACCATCATAGATGGAGGAACACATTCTTCTGTGTGCTATTGTTGCTTGGAGTGGTTGGTTTTTCCTTTGCTAAGCTTGCAAAATTCAGTCCTTGCAAAGGCTCTCTGGTATCTGGTTTGGGGGGAGGGTTCTCCTACAGGACAGTAACCCTCCATAACCCATGCTAGAGAAAGGAAGAGTCACCCAAAAGATAAAGTGTTATTCCACTTCATAAAGGTCAACAGACAATGAAACAGATGAATTATTATCTGTTTAAGAGTCTGAAAAGCAAAGATACTGCAAGTAACCTGGGTGGGTTTGTTTCCAAGTATAAACAGGATCTTGCTGTGTCCTGTTAAAAATATCCTGTTGTGTAAAGATGATTTTTTTCCTGTTTATCTTAAGCAGAATGTGCAACTACTAATGAATGCAAGGCTTTAATGTCTGAACTGAAGATCCTTATCCATATAGGACATCATCTGAATGTAGTCAACCTGCTGGGAGCCTGCACCAAAGCTGGAGGTGAGAAGTCCTCAGTAAATAAGGAGCAAAGAAGAAACACTTTTCAGATACAATGGTGTTCAGATGTATCTGTGGTGGAGTCCAAGTCTCATGCACATGCAGTTAATGCAAGCACAAGCATTTCTACCTCTCTGCTCACAGGAGAGCTTCTGCTACTGCAGAATATGGCCACATCTCATCAATGGTTTCTGAACGTCTTCTCCCAGCCAGCGGTGTCACTTCTCTATTTACTTTTTCTCTGTCCTTTGTAAGCTTGTTTACAAAAAGGATTATGGACTGAAGGGAGGCAGGATCCTTAATTGCAATTAGGTGCCCAATTCCTCCACATAGGCACTACTAATCATTTCAAAGGTTCTTCTCCCTCTCCTTCCCTGCCTTATCAGGAGGATGCACCAGGCTGAGCGCTTAGCTACTTGAGGCCTCCTCCCTTCCCAAGCACTTCACTCTTGTCGGGCAAATGGAGGCATTTTTTGCGTAGTATACAGGAAGCCTGAAGCAGTCCAAAGCTGAATGGAGCAACAGCATGGACTTCCAAGGGGCTGAGCTGACACAACTGGCTGTACGTCATACAAAGAATCTGTTGCAAAGTGCAGACTTAAACAAAGGACTCCATAAATCTTAGACCTTTGTCACTAAAACATCCCTTCCCATACTGCCATACAAAGCATCCTTGTTTGTTACTATACTGTGCTTTAACTTCAGGGTAACAACTCTCAAAGATTCCTCTTTACTGCTTATAATCTACCTTCAAAACAATCCCCAAAGGACAGATTTAGGAGAGCTGAGGACAAAAAAAAACAGAGTAAAATAAATGAAGGGGAAAGAGCAAGAGAGATGGTGCACACATCTGTCGTCATCTGAGACTCTGAAGCTATCATCTTCCCAAAGAACATGTAGTTGTCCAGTCACAGGGGAAAAAAGAAACGTTCAGTGACGTAGATCTGGTAGGATGCCAGGAAAGAAATCTTCCCTCCAGCAAGATAATCCCCGTTCCTCAAGGAGCGGTCAGCAACCACAGACACTGCTGTAATCTGGGAGCCATGGACAGGGAACTTGCAGGAATTGTTGTAGCACTGCAGACCCCAAAAGCTTGTATGGGAGGACGGCCAGCTTCAGCTGGAGGGTTTTAAGATTCAGACGCATAAGCAAGTAGCCTTTTCTTGGGACTGAGAGTAGAGGGGCAGTAACATTATGAAAGCTGGTGACTCTCCCCTCCTGTCAAGTCAATGAGGTGGCTTAACACAAACAGGTGCCTAAAACATGGCAGCATTATAAGAGGTCAGTAGTTTTTAACCAAAGCACTAATTCAGCCACAGAGTTCTAGTTGCACAGTAAAACACATCTCAGTAACTGATCAAATATACTGTGACTGTCCAATCTCTGAGGAACTTTTTCTCCTGGGAGTCCCTCAGTTTCCCGTTCTCCAGCCTGCTCCATCCTGGTTGCCCTGCTGGGTGAAGAGGTAACCCTCACTCTTCCCTGCTAGCTGCCTAGGAAAACCACTGATTACTCTGGGGAGCAGTGGATGGAGCAGAGCGGTGCAGCACGGCCTTGCAGGGCACTGAGGCACCTCTAGGCAGGTGCCGATTTGCAGACTAAAGAAAAATAGCCTTGAGCTCTCAAGACAGACACTGGGATAAGAGTTACTATTAAAATGCCATTGCAGAATACGGTGCTTTCTCCTTCCTTGTTAGGTTTTATGTAACCATATAACAGTATTCCTGATGAAGACTGTTAAGTATTAAGCATTAAGTATGCACATATATTATTTTAACAATATAACAAATAACAAATTTTAACACCTTGACTGAGTGTCTGATGTTAAGCAGTTAGAACTAATGCATAGTATATGCTTTACAACGAGGAAATAAAATACGGAGAGGTCATGTCTAGGAAGCATTTCAAAAACATGAGTAAATCACTAACTGGAGCTTTAAAGCTGTACTGGAATCTGCATTTCCTCAGGGCGTCCATGAGGGACATTCGACTTTAGGTTCTTCAGAACAATGTCCCCCAGAGATCTCTTGTGCACTGCCAGATCCCAGCACTGCTGCCTTTAAGCCCAAGCGAGCAGTGTTGTGTGGCCAGCAGTAGAACCGCTGACAGCTCTGATTTTGGGCCAGCTGTGTTTTTGCAATGACTGGTACAGTGTACTCAGGTGCTGAACATGTTACAGCTGTAGTCAGTAGGAACTGGAAGTCCTGAAGAGCCCAAAGGTGTCTATTCAATCTAGCAGTTGTATAGGACTTGTAAAAATAAAAAGCCTGGCAGAAATACCAATGTTATTATCAGCAAGATATCAGTTATTATTGCTAGAATTCACCATCTCCCTATTAATGGGATGATCTGCTTCCAAACAGCACTCGTCACCCAGTCTCAGACAGGATGCAGCAACCAGAATCTTTAAGGTTCACTCTTCCCTCCTTGACCCCTCGGCTCTCCCTTACAGCCCCGCTCTCAGCCTTTCCAGTCAATATTGTGCCCGTCAGACTGGACCAAGGGGACAGACTGCAGCACAAGTCTGTATGTGCGTTTCTGATACAGCCAGAGAGAAGTGCTGCTTAGAGCTGCCTCCTTCCCGAATGGCCAAGTGCCGCTCTCAGCACTTTTCCTTTGACGTTCAGACTCCTAAGGCTGAACTACGGACCTTCTAGACAGGAAAAGGTTTCTGGACATGAAGGTCTGGTTGCTTAGGATTGATAATAATACATGTTTACATGCATTCTAGTCGTATGATTTCACCCTATCTTACATGTGATGATTACAAAAAGCAGGGATTATGCTAGAGGTAGAGAATGTAAGTTTTCCCTTTCCTAATAGCTCACAGTGAAACATAAAAGCATTTTCAAGCAGATCTTAAAGATATGCATAATTGTATAAAAGCAGCAATTGCACTGAACTCTACAGTAGTTTGCACAGAAATAAGAAAGGAAGAAATTGATAGGACTTTCCAGGCTTTCAAAGACTTCAGACTAAATATTTTTGCAACTTGTGATTTAGATCTGTCTATGATCCTGCATACTTTTATTGCCTCTAGTGGCATCAGCTCCACCCAAAAACAAACAATTGTGAAGGCAGCAGAGAAAAATGAAGACTGGTCCATGCTATGGATCTATGTATAGAGTAAAACAACCTTCATAGCACGTGGGATTGTATATTCTTATTTATCATTCTGAATTTTCCTTTGTTTATAACTAAGGAATAAATACCAACTGTTACCATCTAATGGGGAAAACTAAGACTCAGTACTGTATTCCCTTCTCTCCATATCCACTGCTGATTGTGTGCTTCTGGAGCGTCGCTTCTCTGTTTCCTAATTTCCTTATCTGTATAATAGAAATGACAGTATTTACTTACTTTGAAGAGGATTTGTGAGGATAAGTTAGTATTAAGTGCTTTGCAGCGCTTCAAAACTCATTTGACTTTCACTGTCTTTTTAGGTCCTTTAATGGTCATAGTAGAATATTGCAAATATGGAAATCTGTCCAACTATCTAAGAGGAAAACGAGGAGATTTCATTGCATACAAGGTAAAAAAATGAAAGGCTTCTCATAGTCACAAAGCAGAGAATTAACAACCACTGACCACAAGTTGGATTTTTTTTCTGCATTGGCACTGAGACAGTTTAGTATTTATACAGGCGCTTTATTTTCTCACCACATTTCAATTTGTATGAGCAAGAAAAGGAAACATTTTTCTCTGTAGCATCTCACTCCCATCCTCTTCTTTTCTAGCACCTACTAAAGAATTAGCTGCAAATACCCAAGCACTCTAGTGCATTTGAGAGAGGGGGGGAATTACTTGCGAGATACTACCCAGCACAAGGGGGGCAACAAAGTAGTACTGAAAAACTGGTATTAACTGAACTAGGAGAAGGTGAACCCTCCCAAAATACAAGCCTGGTTTGGGGATTTTTGTTTCTAGGCCCACCCCCCCCAGCTACCAAAAGTACACCTACACCTACGACCTAAAAGTCTGTGCTATATGCAGCAAACCGGATCACGAACATGGTCTGCATTAATACGAACCAAATGGTTTTGGTTTCCAAACTGTTGTCTGCATCCACACAAACATTTGTGCTAGCACAAATTGGGCTAGGGTATGGGGGAAGAAGACACAGGAGGCCAGAAATCAGCGATGGGGAGAGGATGGGACTACCTCCTCATTGTGGAAATACAGCATCAAAAGGGCTCTCTGATCTAAGCCCCGCCAGAAACTGGAGCCTCCCCAAGATTATTTTCCCGGATTATTCTATTCTTATTTTTATTATAATACCTATTGTACAGGCACAAAAGCACATAAGGTACTTTGTGTAAGAGAAGATTTTCCTGGTACAGTCACCATTGTTTTCACAAATTGCAGGGACTGGTTATGTCTCACTCCCCAGGAGACGGTGAGACAGAGGCATTTCAGGGCACATCATGCACATACCTTGAACTGTGATTTTTAGCATGGTTTCCTAAGAAAGCAAGAGGTACAGAGTTACAATATCTCTCTGCTCATCTATCAGTCTCACCTGGTCAGCTTCCAGCTAACTTTTATGGTGGAATATTGCTATCAGTAAAATGGGAGGTTCTGTATTAATAAATAGGAAACCAGGCTTCATTAGTTCTGCTATTCAGGGAACACCATGTTCAAACATGTTTCGAGCTCATCTCCAGAGGACGCTTTCTCCATATGCCATTCTTTTACATATTTTGAATGCCCAGGCATTGCATTATCCAAAGCTAAAAATCAGTTTTCTACCATTTCTAGTCCCAGGAAAACTCTGACCAAGCAGAAAAAAGTCTGGATGAGTCCAACAGTGATTTGACTGAACTGATCAAGAGGCGCCTTGAGAGCGTAGCCAGCACAGGAAGCTCTGCCAGCTCGGGATTTATTGAAGATAAGAGTTACAGCGATTCAGAAGATGAAGAAGAAGGTAAAAGAAACCTACCTAATCCCAGATCTTTTACTGTAAAGATTTCTGTTACTTGGCTAGTGCCACACACACTGTCCCACGCTTTACAAGCCCTTACACAGCTTGACTTGTTCCTGAAACTGGAAATTCTTTCTCTTGCCTGTGCCCCACTCCAACTTTCTCACAAAAAGAGATCTGCAATAACGTATGCATATAAAAGCTGCTCCTGTTGCCTAAGAGGAGTAATAGCAATATTTTACCAGAAGATTTGTGGGGCCAGCCTGTCCCCAGTCTCATCACTCGCTCGCTATAAATAGTTCCCCTCACTTTTATCCCCAGATGTTGTATTCCCCATAGCTAAATGACATGATTAATGTTGGATGGAACTTTTTTAATCATCTGATCTTCTGCCTCTAGGTCAATGGTTCCTAAACCAGAGTTGTAACCTAGTAGAGAACTCATGTAACAATACTCAGATGCAGGGCTGGGGTCATCAGCATGCAAGCGGCACCAGTGCCAAAAAAGTTTGTAGCTGTTGCTCTAGTGTTTTGCTGTGTCTGTGATCTCTCCTAGATGCTGAGGATCTGTACAAGCGGCCCCTGACTTTGGAGGATCTGATTTGCTATAGCTTCCAAGTGGCAAAAGGCATGGAGTTTCTCGCCTCCCGAAAAGTGAGCACATTAAAACATCAGGGCTGAACTTCTTTCACAGAATCATGAGTATCTGATATAATCCAAATATACTTTTGAGCCTGAGTAATCTGCTTTTTGCTCTTATATTAAAGTGTTGGAGATCACATTAGCTCTGGCGGTTAAGCAATAAGTAGCACTGAAGGAGTTGTGAAGGAATATCCATCATGTTCTTGGCTACAAGGACTGGCATCTGTAACATGAGAGTTTAGATAGAAGGAGTGAATACAGATTGTAAGACAATTCGTGGAACTGTCTCATAAATAAATGCAGAAAAAGGGTTCTCATAGAGAAAGATCCTTCTAGTATGGTCAACAAAAGTACTACTGAAAAATGAAGAGGGAGTATACAGCTATTTATTTAGCGTGTCAGTAATGTTGGAGACTATCAGCAAAGTTACCACCTCTTTTCGATACAAAAAAAAAAAGTATGTTTGTAGCCTGTGGAACACCTGTTTTTGAAGTAAACTGAATGTCATACACATGCCAAAGTATGCACAAAACTGAGAGCTTGCACTTAACCACACAGCTGCCAGGGTAGCACACACAGAAATCATGAGCACAGTAATTGCCTACGTGCGATTACCCCAGTCTCACGCACGCTCATGGGACTGCATTTGCAAATGTAGCTGCAGCTGCTTTTTGACCTCTCCCAAATTTGCCGCAGAACAATTAACTGGAAAATGGCACTCCCTTCGTCTCACCATAACTGTGAAAGTTATTTCACGTAGAAAAATCAGAAAACTAACTGCAATACTTGGCTTGTTCCCTGAGTTATTTTCTCTTTTGCATATGACAGTATATTTGCAGCAGATTCCCACACATATTTCCCCTCTCTAACCTGCTCACAACAAAAGTTCATTTATCTTTCCATTTACCAAAGAAGGTCTCACGGTTTCAACTCTAGCAGTGGCTCGTTGTTCAGGCAGCCCCTCTGATCTTGCTTGTCCTCATTCCTTCACAGTGCATTCATCGGGATTTGGCAGCAAGGAACATCCTTCTTTCAGAGAACAACGTGGTTAAGATCTGTGACTTTGGACTAGCCAGAGATATTTATAAAGACCCTGACTATGTACGGAAAGGAGATGTAAGTGGAAGAAACTTGAAATGCTAATGTCAAGTTTTTATTCCCCTAGGGCTTGGACAGATCAGTAAGAACAGTTCTGGCAACATGTTGTGTCTTTTGCATTCTTAGGCAAGACTTCCACTCAAATGGATGGCTCCAGAAGCTATTTTTGACAAAATTTACACAACACAGAGTGACGTCTGGTCTTTTGGAGTGCTGCTATGGGAAATATTTTCTCTAGGTAAGAAGGGTTTAAAACCCTTTTTTCCCCTAATTTATGGCTCTATTGCTAAGAAAAGCTTTTAACAAAAGGTGATAACGTGGTGCCGCGTTTCTATTTCAGTTAGTACAAGTGCAGAGTGCAGATCAGGTGTAAAATAAAGTCACTGGACTGAAGTCAATGAGAACTCCACCTGGCAAAGTACATGAAAACAGTGACTACTGGGGAGGGGGGAACAAAACAAAATCCAAAACCCTGGAGCTAAAATTCTAATAACCGAAACCAACAGAGCACAGAGATAATGCAAGCCTCTGCTGCTCAGGAGTGAAATATTTCTTTGAGAGCAATGAAGAAGTTTCCCTGTCAAACCATATTTTCCTCTAAGCAGTCTGCTTCAGGAAACCACACAGCTCAAAGGTTGCAGAGGTTTACGCTGCTGTTGACATAGTGGTCTGATGTTACCAGTGGCAGCCCACGGAACACAAGGGAGTTTGCCCACATGACATTTTATCCCAGCTTGATTATCTTCCCCACAAAATCTAAGTAAGATTTTCTAAGTAAGAAAAACATATTGGCAGCAGCTGCCATCAGGTTGATATGAGAACTAGTGCTAGACTTTGTGTAAGTCATTTTGGCAACAGGTAGAATGCGTACTCCTCTGGCTATATCATTTGCAAGCCACAATATTTTTGAAAGAATAGTAATGGTGTTCTTTATGTACTATAGATTTCATCTTACGGTGCTGTTAGAAATCTCAGCCTCACTGAGATCTGGTTACTGTCCAGCAGATAAAGCCCTGAAATTTAGACAAGCAGTCTTACAGACAGTTGGACTTTGCCGCTCTCAAATTCTCCTTGCAGAGCAGCAAGTTTTGTTTTCCTGAGGGAATTCAGGAATGTCAGCTCTGGCTTTTTAATCAGCACTCACAGACAAAAGAAAACAAGAAGCATTGTCAACTTAAGCTGCTGAATTTTAAAGCAAACTCTGTAATCTCCTACTATCTTTGGTTCATGGATCAGTTGAAATTAATGATCGGGCTCAAGATGCCAAGTCCAGATCTGTATGCAAAGTCTGGAGCTTTTTCTATCCTGATCTTTATTTAGGGCTGGCTGCAAAGATCACAACCTGATTTCAGTCCAGGTCTTTGATTTGGACTTTTCCCTAGTTTATATCAGCATGCAAAACAGAAAGTTCACATTCAAGTGGTTAAAACAAGTGGCAGTTACTGCTTTCTCCGGAGATCAGTCCTATTTATTTAGAGTTTTGTTACTGCGGTGTAACACTCCCATGGCTCTGTAACAGCATCACCTGCTGCATGTGTTTGGAAACAGCACAGAAGGACGAAGCTCCAGAAGCACTGGCAGTGCCCCGGTTCTAATAGATTGTTCAAGAAGATGTATTAGCATTAGCATGCAGAGACACAGAGGGGACAGTCTCTCCATTGGGCATCTCCAAGGATCCAAATGAACTGAATACTGATGAATGGCAAGGACCACTGCAGAAGGCAAACTGTTTATACCATTCCCAAAGGTCGACAGAGTTTAACAGATGTGAACTTCGGGTCATTTGGCCTTTAATACTGAAGGCTAATAAAAATTAAAATATAGTCACTGAAATTCATCTCTATTTTTAACTATTTTTAAAAATAATTTATCTGATTTCTTTTAATTTTAGATAGACACTTTTCTTAATGAAGGTGCTTACTTGGAACAATGGACTGTCCTCTTCTGAATTCAGAGGAATCTACTAAATTACTCCAAGGGCTGCCATCTGTAGAGCAGCCTCTGCCCTCGCTATGACGTAGATCACAAACTACTTTATTCAACCCGTGGCACAGATTCAAAAGAAGTCATTTTCTCTAAGAGGGTTTTTCATACAGATCATCCAGGCATGTCTGTGGTTTGGCACTACTCACATCTGCAGCTCACACGATAAATATTTAATTAAGGATTTGTGTCACTGATTGAACTCTCTTATATAAAAGTTTTACAGATCATTGAGAGCCAGGGGATGGAAGTTATTTGTCGTTGCTACAGGGTATGTTTTGGCTCCCATTTACAACTGCTGCTTTTTACTGGGTCCCACAGATTTAGCACCCTCTAAAAAAGAAAAAGATACTGATTAGCAAAATGCAGAGTTTGGTTTGGACATGGGCCCTTTCAGGGTCAGAAGTTGAATGAAGCATGATAGGCTTCCTCCAGAAAGGCTGACAGAGTGGATCCATTTTGGTGATACGCAGAGAAACTGGGACTTGAGAGACTGTTAATTTTCATTTGGGGCTGAGTTTGCATTGAGTTTTGCATTAGTTAAATGGGGTCAGCACACCTCACGTCAGGTAATGCCAGCAATGTTTAATACATCTTGAAATCACTTACATGGTGCATTACAGAATGTCGGTGTCTCCTGGAATTTAAATGTGCACTGTTCAAAAAGCAATCAAAGGTAATTATGTAAACAAGCAGTGCCTGGTAGTATAACATCAGCATCTTATTATCCTACTAAAATAAAACCAAGATCAAAAGAGCGCTACCATATCCAATGCATGCCACATCTTTGAGCGTTTTGGAAGAGATTTCCCCTAAGGAAAACATCATGTGTAGACCTTACAGCATATGTTTCAGCCTACATGTCTCCCAAGCTGTCTCAGCACCCCAAATCCAAGTTATTAGGCTTATCACATAGTCCAGATGAGGTACAATGGTGAGTGGAGGTGGAAAAGGGAGAGTTCCTTGAGATCTGAGCTGCCTTCAGCTGGTAGGAGGCCAGCACCACTCAAAATATAAACTACCAAAAGATCTTGCAATCAAAAATTATTCTTCTTTGCCTTCCCTGTACTTGCTCTCACCAACATATTGCAGTTGATATGATCAATGATGTAATCAAAGAAAGATAACTCAGATTGTGAGATCAAGTGGAATTCTCCGTCCCTCCTCACCCAGTTCTACTGTTTTGCTCTCAAGGTCTCAGTCCCAATCAATGTATTTGCAAGACTAATTCTTATCAATAACCTCTGCTGTGCTCATGAGCCAGATCTGGCCAGCGATACTCAGCAAACTGAGGGATTTCTTTTGCACGTCAGAATGGTCAGCGTAAAACAGCCATTCGTCAATGGCATGACTCCATTCAGCTCCTCCTCATGGAAATCGGTTGGCCATGATGGCGCAACAATCTCATAATGCAGTCAGAAATGAATGAAAAAGGCCATGCAGCCCATCTCTTCTCTAATTAGGGGTGTTGTTTTCCGTGTTGCCCCAGTACATTGACAATCTAGGGCTAACTAGATCAAGTGAGGCTTATGCTCACTTCTCTTGAGAGGCTGTGCCACTGTTAAATAGATATGGAATCAGCTGGGCAAGTCACAGATGTATTCATGAAGCCTCAGTACCTTGTAAAGGTTTGTAAAGATAAACCTGTACAGATGAAAAGACAAGCTAGTGAGAGTTCAGGAGATGTACACAGACAGCAGTTTAGAAGCTTGGACAACAGTCAGTGCCCCCAGACCCTGTTCCCATCCTTACCCTTTTGTCACAGTGCAACTGTGGGAAAGCGAAACTATAGTTTCTATCCATCTCTTTATTCAGAGAGATCTTGTGAGTTGATAGAAGCCTGTTTTGAGATCTTTGGCTAACAGGTGATGCCATGTGAGCTGAAGATTTAATTACCAGGTTATTATGAGCATAACGACAGGTCAAAGACAAAACCAGGAAGGAAAATCAAGATATAAAGCAGAAATGATGCTACTGACTATTTCCAATCTACATAATTCCAGGAAACACTCTTAATACTGTGATCTGATACTTGCACATCAAGGGAATTCAGATGTGCTGTGGCTAAGCGTCCCTGAGCTTTGAATGTCATTGGAGCCTATTTGCTGCGTTGAGATGCCCTCTTAGGAAGCTGCCAGGATCTTTGCTCCCTAGTGCATAGTTTTGCAGATTGAGCAGTCAGATTCACAGAGTAGAATAATTCTGGGAACAGCCACATTTTGGCACCCTCTTCACTGCTTTTATCTAAAAGATTTCTGCTGTGCTTGTTGTGCCCCCAAGTGCACAGCATGTGATGGTGTTTCCAAATGTGGAAAAAAAAAAAAAAAAAAGGCAGGAAATAGGCAGGAATGTTATAGACAGTAAATCATATACAGATTCCTCGAGGGCTGGATACAGATCCAGATTCCATTCAATCCCCTATGTTAAGACTTGATTAAATTTTTTCCAAATTCACCGTCCAGCCTCTAGGACACCAAAATGTGAAAGACAAGGGTTGCGCTGCATGTGAAGCCTTCGCTGAGAAGGAAAGGAGGAAAGCTTACAGATCTCTTAGGTCTATCTAGAATAGGTTCAGTAACCTTTCAAACTTCATTGTGGACATCTCTTGAATTTTACCTATGAGGTCTGGATTACTCAGGTGCCAGAGCACTTTCTCAAATTATGTATTTGTTCCCCTTATTTATGGCGCATCGTAAAGTGCAGATGTCATACAACGAAGATCAGAACCTCTGAAAAGCCCCCACTCGCTCATTAGTTGAAGAGAAGAACGCATTCAATGCATACATACATTTATACTAGTCATTCCTCTGAAGATAACCGTTTACACAGGAAATGAAATAAGTCTCACTCCTTCATTTTGATGACTGCTAGGCCAACTTTTGCACAAGTTAATATAATACTACCAGTCCCTTTACAGAAGTCTACCTCTCAAAAGCAATTATAGTTGCCATGAACTGTCCTCCCAGGTTTCACACTGACAATTGAGTGGCCCTGAAAATAAGCGGCATTGAACTCACACTCAGAAAAGAAAACAAGGCTAAAAATTTGGAAGGTCATTTTTCAAGGAAATTTTACCTGTAGGACTGCATAATACATATACAATACTAAATTGGTGAACCAGGAGACAAGGACTACAATTCCACACCTGAGGTTGAACTGCAAGGTTCTCACAGCCTTCTGTGGGAGCCAGATGCCTACAGCTTTCTCTGCGCTTACTCACAGAGGCCAGTGAGGCCAGAGATTCTAAGGCAATGAATGATGAGCAGGACTGACTTACTTCATGTGTATTCACTTAGTGCAGGATATTGGCAGACTGACAGTTTGGAAAACAGTATGTAACCAATTGAATGAGCTGGAACTTTTCTACCACTGACCAAGAGGTCATTTAAAGTCTCAAACTAATAAAATTTATTTATCTTCTGCCATATTTTACCTTGGAGTGGTCCTGGCTATATCATGAATGCAGAGGAGACAGCATGGTTGAAAACTCTGAAGAGACAGAGTGATTCTGTAATGGGTTTCAAACAAAACATTTAGATAGTAAGTGACTGCAACCCCTTCTTTGCTCTAGCTTCTTTTACTGTCAGACTCTAGGTAATCTCAAATGCTCAACAGATATCACCGATATGTGTTTAATTCACTGGACTGGGAAATAAGGATTGTGCCATTCTGGAGCCTCTTCCTTCTTTCCCCCATCAGGTGCCTCACCATACCCTGGAGTGCAGATAGATGAGGACTTTTGCCGACGGCTCAAAGAAGGAACCCGGATGAGATCTCCAGAGTACTCTACTCCAGAAGTGTAAGAGCTGCGGGTTTTGTATTGAGAGCTGATAATGTCATTTAAGTATTATAAAAGAGATTGTATTTAAGTGTGGAGGAGGAAGGAGACCTCATCCGATGACAGCTGTGTATTTTGTTTTCAGTAAACACTGTAGTTGTGCCTATCTTGGGTGTCGTGATACCACAGACAAATGCTAAAGACAGACCAAGTCAGCTTGACCATTGCCACAAGATTAACAGATCTCCCCATGTCAGTTGTAGTTCATGAACCTCAGTTCAGGAGACTACTGTGTCTGCCTTGATTTCCAGTTCTGTGACAGAAACTTGGCATCCATAACTATGACTTACTTCAGCAATATCAGTGGGACCTATCAGTCAAATTTTAAGTTAGGTGAAAATAAAAAGCCTACAGGCTCAGTTGAGGCATGAATATACAAGGAAAAAGCATCCCACAGGGAAACTAGAATAGAATTTCAGCACGTGGAGATTTGAACCTGTCTTAATCCAAAACTATCCAAACAATGACCAAAACAAGCAGCAGCAGAAAGAAACCGTTTGGAAACAAAGCTCCTATCCTTTTCCTTTCTTAACACCTGTGGTTTTTATCTAGCTACCAGACAATGCTGGATTGTTGGCATGGAGTACCCACAGAGAGGCCTACTTTCACTGAGCTTGTGGAGCGCTTAGGAGATCTTCTTCAAGCCAACGTACAGCAGGTACAGCAATACAAACATTCCTTCAACAAATGTGTCCATATAGATGGATGTGGATGTGGATATGTGTATGCATGTGCACAGGTAAAGACTATGTTGAGCAGTAATATTAGATTTGACTTCAGAACAGAGGTCACAAGGAAAATGGCTGCTGGGATGAGTAAAGAAAATGTTAACTATTCAAAGGGGATTATATTTCAAAACTAGATGTTTATCCATCCATAATAAGCAGAAACTTACATTAATTAAAAAAAGGCTCAGTTGCCCCTTAGAGAAACAATAGTGCTTTATCTCACAAACAATTTTAATTAGATTCCAACATAGTAAACTGCCAGTAGTTGGTTTGAACTTTCTCTCTCATTTTTTGAGCTTATGTTCCTCAGTGCTCTTAGGAGCTTTAAAATGATGCAGTTTAAAGCTCAGAAAGTCAATTACATAATTATTAATTTCATAATAGTTAAATTCGTTGTTTTCTTCTTCAGTAAAAACAACCAGACCAGTTATGTAACTGTCAATTTAATTTAACAAGAAATCAAACACTCTCCTCCAGCTCCTTCCTGTTTGTAAACAAATTTAGTGAAGCTAAGTTGAAGAGGGCCCAGTTTGCAATATGAAGAGCTTGTGAGTTTTATCCTATAACCAAAGCAGATTAAGGAGACATAACAATCATGATAAGGGAATAGGGCACTTAACTGCTTCTCAAAATTAAAAAAAAAAAAAAAAAA